TCTCTCTCTCTCTCTCTCTCTCTCTCTCTCTCTCTCTCTCTCTGTGTGTGTGTGTGTGTGTGTGTGTGTGTGTGTGTGTGTGTGTGTGTGCAAACCTGCCCTTTGCACACTGCACAGCCGAGAAAAGTGGCAGTGTGACCAAGAAAGTGGAAGCCTGACTTCAGGAGGGATACGACGCGCCTCACTCCACAACTCACCAGGGCCTCGCTCCACTACTCACCACGAGAAAAAAAGACAAAGCACAGTGTTGTAACTTTCCATGTTCTAGGGGAAGGTTCATTCTCCTTTTTCCCATTCACTGAGGAGAGGAGAGAGCCCCCAAGTACGGAGACGGAGTGACGCTTCGGCCAGAACATGGAAAGGTACAACGCGACATTTCTTTTCCATTTCTTTCAGTGCTCTGAGGCCCTCCGCCACTGTCCAGAACTGAGGCTACTCAGCCTGGACCCCACGCCCTTGTGTCGGCAAAGTTGCTCTCGTCATCTCAAGTAAAACGTACATGCGAATTAAAACGAATACAACACACGGTATGCGTTGTGTTAGCTTAGAATGCATATACGTTATCTTCGGGGACGACGGTAGGGAGGGTTCACTTAAATGACTGGATGACGGAATTCGCCTATCTTGCAGAGAAAAATGAAAAATAGGTGTGCTTCACCGTGATGAGGGACTGGTACAGCCTTGCCCTCGCACCACAGCTGTGGTGCCAACCTACCCTGTGGGCTGGGGAGGGATCCGGGTTGGTTGGTGTTCCCCCATACCATATATAGAATAGTGAGAGGATGAGATAGATGCGTACTATCAAGAAAAATGAGATAGATGAGAGAAGAATATAGCTTACCTTTTCGAAAAAAAATAAATAATAATAATAATAATAAAAAATTAAAAAAAATTGTCATAATCTATCATCTGACTTTCTAATTTTGACCCTCTCTATTTTTCTTCGCAGGTTATGTCGTATCTGCTGTTTGGAGCTTCAGTCTCAATCCTTGCATTTAAAAATTATGAGGATGTTAATAAAGACTGGGATCGGGATATCCGCTTCATGAAGAATGCCAAGGGGGCAGGGGTTTGCGGGATGCTTGCATTTTTTTCGATCTTCCCATCCTTGGCTTTGCTCGTTTGGCGCACTTGTTCCATGTTGAAATTCCAGTGTTCAAAAGAGAATGGTTGGCGTAATTGTTCCATGTCGAAATTCCAATTTTCAAAAGAGAATCTTTGGCGCATGTTGAAATTCCAGTCTTCAAAAGAGAATGGACTGTAAGGATGGTAGGCCCCCCCCAATCTCCCATTCCTGCCTGTCCAAGCTGCTTCCTAATGTTTTTCATTTCCAGTTTTGTTGTACAATACCTCTCCCTTGGAAGCTGGAACATGGAAAGGGAGAAGGGTCACTTCTTCTCCGTACTTGGGGCCTCGCACCTTTTGCAACCAGTAATAGAGGTAGTTCTGAATGTAAAAGAGGAGAGAGAGAGAGAGAGAGAGAGAGAGAGAGAGAGAGAGAGAGAGAGAGAGAGAGAGAGAGAGAGAGAGAGAGAGAGAGAGAGAGGTCAGGCAATTCAGAGCCTAGTATCCATAATCATTGCAATATTGTGATTTGGTGAATCCCAGCCACTTGCACGCTTGTGCCTGAGCAAGCAAGAGAGAGAGAGAGAGAGAGAGAGAGAGAGAGAGAGAGAGAGAGAGAGAGAGAGAGAGAGAGAGAGAGGTAGGTTAGTATATCAAAGGATTCGGTTTTGTTTTTCCATCAAGGGGTGGGGGGCTACATTGAAGTCAGCTGGTTGTGTAGGTCAGGGTGCAACAATTTCCTTGAGCTGATTCATATTTTTCTGTAAAAGAGGATCATATCTTGGGTAAGATTTCGATGATCACCATGGAGCGAGGGGATGCTTTATGTTCTGAAGCAACCCCTGGCGCCACTGGCGAGCTTGGTTTCCCCTGGCCCTCCGGACGGATGGAATGGACAGCCTTTGTCACTGTGATGTCGAACGCTCTCAGTGCGACTACTGCTGTACGTGAGTTTTTTAGCACAGAAGAATTGGTGTTTCACACATGGCTCTCACCCTCTCTCACGTGTCTGGTGTGGTTAACACTGGTTGTGCTTCCTTGCCCCAGTGGCCAGGAAGGAGAATGAGTAGGGCTAGTACTGTGGTAGCGTGGGTGGAAAGGTGGTGGTTATCTTGAGACCGAGCAAGGCAGTGGATTTAGGGTTTGGGGGAAACAATATAGCGAGGCAGTGGATTTAGGGTTTGGGGGAACCGAAATAGCGAGGAGTGGATTTAGGGTTTGGGGGAACCACAATATAGATAGGAACAGACAGCTCAGCTAGATCCGTATTCGTGTTTGCTGTCTGATCGATAGTCTCCCCTCGCACACTTTCTGAAACTCCTACATGATTTGCATCTTCTCATGTCAAACTCTCCTCGCACAACGTCTCTTGCATAACCGTCACCAGACTCACCACATTTAGAATCCTTATATCGCTACCGCTCAAGCTTCCAGAAGGTAAATCCTCAAGCCCTGTTGGGACTCTTGGGACTCGATTTGACCCAACAGGCCTTGGGAGTCTTCAAGAGTCCCAAGGCCTATCATGGATGGAATGGAGTCGAGATTTTTGGAACTCAAATTTTGTTAAGGAAATCAGCAAAGGAAATCAGATAGGAATTGAGTCGGGCGGCGACTCGGAGATTCAACAGCCAAGGCCAGTTGGATTTCCCTGAGTACTAAGTCTGAGTCTCTTCGTTTCGAAATGGTTAAGGAAAACGACGACTTTGATTTCCTTACGAAGTCTTTGCTTTTCAAATTGGTTAAGTTAACGAAAAAGACAACTTCGAGTACGTTCCAAAGTGACAAAGTCGTTTCTTTTCAAATTGGTTAAGGAAATTAACAAAGGCGTCATGATGGGGTTGGCAAGTCAGATTCTACCTTCAGCTCTGTTGAGGAGTCCAGCAGCAGGGATAGCTCAATTACCACTAGTATGCGGTCCTGGACTCCAGGAACGCCCGAAATCGGTCCAATGCATGCGAGGCATGGGCAGGACCGTTACGATAGACTAGGTGAGGGTCTCTAACCTAATTGCGATATCCATCCATTCACGCTGTGCGCATTCACATTCTCCAGGAACGGCGGAAATCGGTCCATGCCAGGCATTAGTTGGACCTTTGCAGCGTGATTATATGTGATATAGATTTGACGAGCGGGGTCTAGTAGCCTAATCCGATAATCCACTAGCATCATTGCCCATTTCGCGTTGATGGACAGGTGCACTTTCACTACGGTAACCATGATGCACTTAGCAACATGCTGAGTCAGCTGAGGATGTAGCTGAGTGAATGCTGACAAGTCTTTGTGAGGACTTTGCCGGTACTATGATGCTTAACCACACAGTTATGGGACTACCACACGGTTAACCACATGGTGGTATGCGTTCAAGTTGGTACAACAACATCACATTCTGCAACTGGATGATTTCTCGAATTCGCAACGGGCAGGGCATCATATCGAGAGTGAATTCCACTCGTAAAAACGATAGAGTAGAGTAGAGTAGAGTAGGTAGTTTTATGAGTCACTGAGTCAGCATGAGTTGGCATGGAGCTGATAATGGTTGATGGGATAATGATAATGCAGTGTGTGTGTGTGTGGGGGGGGGGGGGGGTCACAAATTTAACACTTTGGTATATAAATGCTCCTCCCGGGACTTCCGGTATGATCCTCAATATTATCATCCAATGCCTAATAATGTAATCTCATAAGGGACGTTGGGCCCAGTTCCCAGCACGTGCTGCTTCCCACGAATAGATTGGAGAGTTTGTTATTACCAAAAAACAAAACAAACAAACAAAAAAGAACCATATTGTACTGACCAGGTGGAGTTTTGCCTACTACCGGGTCAAGGTCCCCTGGGATGGTAACGAGGATTATCGAATCGACATTGTCAGAGTGATCTGAAGGATTAATTTGGGCCGGCACCTGCTTCAGTGCGGTATGTGTTCCTTCAGCAACAGACGGCAAGGAATAAATCAGCGAGCGGCAACTTGAAGCACAGTTTGAAGGCCAACGGTAAAAAGCGGACGGTAAAAAACATCCCAACTCGAAGACAGGGGAGGGGAGGGGGTCTGATTCCAAGGCAAAGAAGGGCACCTTGTCCACCTGTGCATGCAAGGCACTGCAAGCTTCTTCGTGACAGTGCATGGAATGATGGAAGATACCAATCAGGGGGGGGATCTCGGGTCCGAATGGGGTGTTGAGAGGGTTCAAACAAGTGTATCATTTGAGAAAATGTGGTCGATTTTCGAGCATGTTTTTCGAATGATGTAGAGTACCAAGTATATAGAAGAAGAGGGTGCCTACTTTAGAGTGGGGGTGGTATACGAGTAACAAGGTCGAGAAACAGACCATGAGTTTAAATCCTGCCAAGCACAAGACTTGTTATTGAGCTATGGTTGGTGCTAACAGCATAACCGATAGAAATGGAAGAGTTGTGGCAGTGAGAGGAGGATGTGAGATTTCTGCTGAATTGCTAGATATGGTGACGGCTGGGAGGACCGCTACTGATGTCCCCAATTGGAGTGCAGAATCAATTATCCATCCTTGTTATTTATTAGTTGAATTTAGTTCTACCATAAATTTAAAATTAAAATTTGTACGATGCTTCGTCTCATCCATTCGCTTCAAAGAAGTATTTTATTTTTATTAATAAACTTTATATAATATGGGCTTTTGTTTCTTAATCTTGCAGGTGGGGAGCAGCCCCCGCATGTTCTCTCATGAACACAGCTCTGGCTGCTACGGGGTTCCCGTATGCCTACAATTAGGAGTAGTGGTAGGTAAGTAGTGTGAGGTGAAATTGAGAGAAGAATATTCAATATCGCTTTTTTTTTTTTTTAAAATCTTGCACATACATATGTATAGTCAAACAGAGCTGCCTATGGTAAACCGTAGGCAGAGAGGGAGGGAGAAGAGGACAACAAACGAGGGGCTGTGACAAACTGTTCCGTCCGAGTTTCACCGACTCATCAGGAGGCTGAACCCTCAACAGTCTGCAAAATACTCTAACTGGTTACACTGTAAGTGATAATCCACCTCAACCCCGGTTCTGGTTAAGCATCAACGACTGCCCGACAACTGATACCCTGAGGTGGGCATCAACCACTGCCCTCATATACTAGGCTACCAGAGTGGCCTGGGGTCACTTGCCCGGCCGGGCCAAAAAGAATAAAAATCATAAAAATAAAAGAATTATTTTTAAATTTTATTTTTGATTCTAAATTTGGTGAAGAATTTCGATGTGACCCTGAGGCAAAAGTTGTTCAGTTTATTTTTCTGCATAACATAGTTTGTTTTTCGGATTTTTGGATTTTTTTTTTTTTTTTT